CAACTTTGTAGACTATTTAATGGTACAGCCCTTATCAACCCACACAACTTATCAATATATAGTGGGACATTGTAGGATACTTACTACACATTATTAAACGGCAGTGTCATTTTTTGTAGTGGTTTATATAGGCACATTTGTAACAGTTTCTAGTGTCATTTTTTGTAGTGATTCTTGTAGGCACATTTGCAACAGTTTCCAGGGTCATTTTTTGTAGTGATTCCTATAGGCATGTTGGTAACATTTTTGTAGTAATTCTTGTAGTCACATTTGTAACAGTTTCTGGTGTCATTTTTTGTAGTGATTTTCATAGGCATATTTGTAACAGTTTCTAGTGTTATTAGTAATTTGTAGAGGCACATTTGTAACAGTTTGTAGCGTTATTTTTTGTAGTGATTCTTATAGGCACACTGATAACATTTTTTGTATTCATTCTTGTAGACACATTTGCAACAGTTTCTAAGGCTATTTTTTATAGTGATTATAAGCATATTTGTAACAGTTTCTAGTGTCATTTTTTGTAGTGGTTCTTATAGACACATTTGTAACAGTTTCTGGTGTCATTTTTTGTAGTGGTTCGTATGGGCATGTTAGTAACAGTTTTCTGATATTATTTTTTGTAGTGATTCTTATAGGCATGTTGGTCACAACTTTTATAGTGATTCTTGTAGGCACATTTGTAACAGTTTCTAGTGTCCTTTTTTGTAGTAGTTCTTATAGGCAGTTGGTAAGATTTTTTTGTAGTGATTCTTATAGGTAACATTTGTAACAGTTTCTAGGGTCATTGGTTGTAGTTATTCTTGTAGCCACATTTGTAACAGTTTCGAGTGTTTTTTTGTAGTGGTTCTAGGATGCTTACTAGACATTCTTATACAGTGTCAGTAGAGAATATAATAGACTATAAGGGGCTTATTGATGGTTTCTAGATGGTATGGATTCAGTAGATGATATGGTAGATTGTTGTAAGACCCCTACAAACTGATACTAGGTGGCCTTTCAGACTATTATAAGGCCATACAAATAAACAGTAGATGGCATACCATGCTATTATGAGGTTATTACCATACTAAGCAACTTACTAAAGGTTAGTAAACTATTTAGTAAGATATTGTAGGAGCTTGCTAAACATTACTAAATCCCAAAAATCATAAAAATATCAGATAAATTGTAGCATGACTATAGAATCTAAAATTCTAAGACACTTTTATCAGATAGTTACCTTGGAGTAGGTACATGACATAGTAGGCTATTAAGGTGATCCTTATAGAATGAATATTAACGACTTTTTAGTCAGGTTTTTATATAGATTTTATAAAATGGCATAGTAATATCATTTTGAAGCCATTTTTTGGCTGAGTCTTTTAGAATACATACCAGTCACTTTTCAGTAATGTTTTTATATACTTTTTGCAAAACAACATAGTAATATCATTTTGAAGCTATTTTGAAGCTGAGTCTTTCAGAATGAATATTAATAACTTTTTAGTCGTGTTTTTATATCAATTTTATAAATCGACATAGTAGCATCATTTTAAAGCCATTTTTTGGCCGAGTCTTTGAGAATGCATGTTAGTCACCTTTTAGTAATGTTTTTAAATACTTCTTGTAAAACAACATAGTAATATCATTTTAAAGCCAGTTTTCAGTGAAGTCTTTTAGAATGTATACTAGTAAGTTTTCAGTAATGTTTTTATATTAATTTTATAAAATGACATAGCAGCATTATTTTGAAGCTATTTTTCAGCTAAGTCTTTTAGAATGCATACTAATCACCTTTCAGTTATGTTTTTATGTACTTTTTAGTAACATTCTTATACAGTTTTGATAAAAAGACACAGTAATATCATTTTAAGGTCATCTTTTACGTAATTCTACTCAGAGATACTTAGCAATATGTTAGACTATTATCAGGTAGCTACAAATAAATCAAAGTTTACACTATACTAGATTATCAACTGATAGTGGTATGTAAAAGGTTGATAGGTGATATAGCAGACATATAAGACTTATGTGATAACATAACATATTGGTGTTGTAAAGGGCTTTGCATACTCTAATACACTATTATAAGGCTTTTATAAACAACTATCAGGTGACATGTTAAGTAAGTCATGGCTATGATATTGTTAGAAGCTTACCATATATGACTAAGCAATATACCAGTTATTAAATAACACTGTAGACTATTATACTGCTTTTATTTAAAAAGCACTAGCATTTTCTTGTAACTTTTTTGTACAGACATATAGATGACATGCTGAACTATCGCAGAACTGTTGCCAAATATTCTTAAGTAAAATATTAAATGAATAGCATACTAAAATATTGTAATGCAGTTGTTGATGATACCTAGAGTAGTCAAATAATATTTTAAGTTATTCTAATACTTTATTTCTTTTTAGTATTTGTATAAAATGAATTTATACATAAATTTAGTTGAAATAAAAACAGAGTTTCAAAGCTTCAAAAAATGATACACTGACAAGAAATACTTGAGTTTTTTATACTTATTAGTATCACATGCAATTTTAGTAGATTTTCATTTAAAGTGACTGTTTTGAGTGAATACAAATAGCAAAACCTTAAATAGATATTAAATAAAAATACAAGATGCTATGCAATGCAATACAATGAATCACTCTTCACAAGTAATTAACTACTAAAGAGTAATATAGAATAATTAAAACATGTAGAAATAATTAGATAATAAGAGGAAGGCAGGAACACAGAACCTCAGGAATTGTTCCTGCCATGCAAAGCAGTGGCTTACTCCCCACAAGTTTGCTTATAAGAATAACTACAAAAATTGACCGTAAAAACTATTACAAATGTGCTTATAAGAATCATCGCAAAAAATGACACTAAAAACTGTTACAAATGCGCACCTACAGCATTGTATTAAAGAAATTGTACTCTCTACTGACTCCCAGTATGCCATCTAATGATATGTAGTAAGTGTCCTACAATGTCACACTATAATAAGTTGTATGAGTGGACCTTACAAGGTTGCCTACTGACTCTTAGTGTATTGTTGAGTAATATTCAGCAAGTAAACGATAGTCTATTATACTGGCTCCTAATATACTCCTTAATATCAGTTTGTATTGAGCTTACAATAGTCTGTATATGTCACCTGATGTGACTTGTAAGAATTTTCAGTAACCTGCAATAGTGTCTAGTAATCTCTAGTAAGAACACTAGAAATTGTTACAAATGAGTTTATAAGAATCACTACAAAAATGGCACTGGACTACTTATACAAAAAGTATCTGCAGTACTACACAATAATATGAGATTGTCCATTGGCTAGATAAAGTGAAACAATGTCCGGGCAAGGTAAAGGTAAGGAAGTAATAGGTATGGGAAAGCTGAGTAAGATTGTGAGAGATAATCAGTACTAATGGAGATAACAAGTCGTGTATCAGGACAAAGTGGAAATAAGGCAAACACACATATCAGGCATGTGTAATAAAGGAAAGGTCCGATGTTAGATCCAGTGTAACCCTAGAATAGGGGTTATGGTCATTTGGATAAGGAATCAGAGGTTGCGCTCTGATGAGTCACGTGATAGGTCATATGGTCTGGCAAAGTAAAGGGAATGAAAAAAGAAAAAAGTGCCATAACTGAGAAGCGTTGTAATATTACACAAGCAGCAGGTGGTGGAAGACACTCAGAATGATGGGGGGATATGTAGGCTTGTTCACCAGCCTCTAGTGCAGAGCAGGGGTAGTGGTAACCTGCAGAGATTAAGGGTAGGAGTACTAAAGGGTAGGGGTACAGGTACAATTGTATCAACCCTCCATACCCATGAGGCACCCGTGTGCTGAATTTGGCTGAGACCATCCTGAAGATCTGCCAGACACCTTCGCAGACTGCCCAGAGACCTCCCCAGTCCTCCGTAACATGTCTTAACCTTATTTTATGAACTACATACTACAATTGGAAGTGCTTAAAAAGGTCTGATCATCCCAGAGAAGTGGGTCCTTCAACCTCATGGCAAAATGGTGTTCAACTCAATCAGAGAAAGCTTCTCAAAAAAAGAAGCGTGTCAATGCTGATCCTGCAGTACCACTGAAACATGACTGACGTGCGTGTGTCGATGACGTTGAAGACGAGAATGATGTTGTCGAGGTGGAGGCACCGATCAACAACACCGCAGATAAGACACCTGAAGAACAGCTTCGTGAGTAATGCATGCATATCAGAATAAAGATGACTTACCCCGTTGTGGCAGGTAAAGCCCAGGAGGATTGGACCTCCCCTGCCTATGCATTCTATAAGCCTGACGTGACAATCGAGTTTGATCCGAAGTCAGCCGCGCACACCCACGTCTTCCATTGTGTGAACTGAGGGTGTAAGATGAAGATATCGAGATGGACAGATAAGGGGGACAAGTCATCGACAAGTAACCTTCGCAAACATGTTCAGAGATGCTGGGGGGAAGAAGCTCTGGCCGCTGCTGACACCATGAAGATGACAGAGGATGTGCACCCGGCTGTGGAGAAATATGCACGATCAGGTTCAATAACAGTGTCGTTCGAGCGTAAGGGTAAAGCCAAAGTTACTTACAGTGTTTGTCAGCATACCTGCACAGAATCTCAGTGAACCACGGTCGACACGGCATCACACTGTCATGACTGGCTGACCTTGCAATAACAGTGCCGAGATAGTGCGTTGGGCATCAGAGAGCCTGCACCCCTTCGCAATCGTTGAGGATCGAGGTTTCAAGACATTGATGAAGACTGGGCGGCCCGAATATTGGATCTCTTCGAGGTGGACAGTGGTGCGAGATGTACATAAAGTCTTCGCTCACTGCCATGCAAGGGCAGTGAAGATGTTGCAGGTCAGTATTATCATTCTACTCAAAGACTGAATATTGAACTTACCGGCAGGAATTCAATGGTGAACTCAACTTTGTGACTAATGTGTGGACATTGCCCAACAATAAGGCATTGGTTGCATTCATGGTGCACCTTCATCACGAAGGTACACTGCTCTGAATGGTGCTGGATGTGGTCGAAATTGCGGATTTGCACAACGGCATTAATCTTGCTGCGATGTTCGCGAAAATGGTCGAGGACTTCAACATTGCTGTTAAGGTGAGTTAGTTGCCTTCAGGGTGTGAACAATCTTTAAATGCTTACCTTGGGTACAGCTGCGTGGTGTTACTGCAGACAATGCATCCTCGAACAACACAATGATCGATGAGCTGTCGGAGTTGCTCGAGGAATTTCAGGGGCAGGCAGATCGCTCACGCTGCTTCGACCACATGGTAAATCTTGTCGCGAAGTCCCTGCTGCATCAATTTGATGTGCCCAAGGGAAAGGCTGATGAGGCACTTGATAAGGCAGAGCGTGCGCTGCGTGAGCTCATCATCAATCTCGATATCGATAACCTTGAGGGCGAGAATGACCAAGAGGAGCTGGCGGACAACGTTGAAGGATTGGAGGATGAGCAAGATGGCCTGTCACCCGAGGAGATTCGGGAGCTCAAGGAGAGCGTGCGACCTGTGAAACTCGTCCTCATGAAGGTCAGTAATTTCACAATGTGCTCAAATACTTACCAGCTAAAGAGCTGGATGCAGCTGCAAAAGATCACGTTGGCGATTATTTGCTCATCCACAAAGCTCCTCCCCATCTGGTTGAAGATCGTGGCCACGTTCAAGATGCTGGAAAATAAGATGCCAAGGGATGTCACAATGAGGTGAAATTCGACCTTCAGGATGCTTGAGTTTGCACTGAGGTACAGAAAGCCTATAGATGTAATTACACAGGACAGGTCGACTAAGCTCAGGAAGTTCGAGTTGAGTGACGAGGAATGGCAGATCACTGAGCAACTGCGTGACATTCTCAAGGTGAGTCACATGTCACCTTGCCCATTACCCACTCACCACCTCCTTCACTCGCAGATTTTCAATGACGCCACATTGTATTTCTCTTGCGCAACCCCGTCACTGCTCATGGACATAATCAATGAGCATTTGACTGACCACTCACTGGACCACAAGTACTTGCCCTGCATTCGCACGGTGATTGGCCTCACCAAAAAGACCCTTAACCGCTACTATGACAAGACCGACCAGTCGAATGTCTACTCAATTGCTATGGGTAAGTGATATCACAATCAAATTTTATACTAACTACTATATTTCACAGTGCTACATCCCTCCCACAAGCTGGAATATTTCAAGAATGCTGCTGGCTGGGAGCCCCAGTTACGATTCCTGAGGTACGAAGGAATCGTTCTTTATGGGATAGGGCTTCCGCCAACTTTTGGGAGGACATGCACTTTTTCCCCAAGGTGTGGGAACGACTTTTCAATATAATTTTGTATGTGAGAGCTGCACCTAGTCCTGGGTTAGATCTAGGATTTAACTACAAACTTTGTAGTGCCTGTTGTTGCCATCCTACAACTTGAGTACAGTTGTTCTTTCAAACTGATTGTAGTGAAAACCAACGCAACTTGCACAAATAGTAATCAATAGAAGTGCCACAGCAGCCACAGAGGACCAATGCATCATAGTCAGTGAAATTATAGAAGCACATGCTAATTCCAACACATAAAAAGCAGTACCATTAAAATTTGTGAAGGAAATGGAGCATAATGCTCTCTTAAACCAAGTAAATCTGAGTAAAACTGGCAGAGATATCTCAGTTTTGGATTAGAATGCTCAGTGTGAAGTGCAGAAAAATTGGATAAATGCCAGAAAAATTTGAGAATGACTCTAAAATGCACATAAACATGTTAGATAGGGTGCCTTATTTTTAACATGCAGTGCATATTGAAGAAGCAAGCAGAATGGAGAGAAAACTAAGAAAATAAATTGTAGCACTCCAGCAAGTGATTTTGATGTTCTAAAAGTAACACGTCAGATTCAGCTTGAAACTGCGGTCAGAATGGCCACTTGGTTTATCCAAATCCGAGCAGAATTGAGTGAGCTACAAGCCTGGCAAGTTTGGCTACAAGTGTGGTAACAAGTGCTTGAAGCCGGTAGTGTCACGTGACCTGCAGGCCATGTGATGTGTGGCTGAAGATAAAACATGCAGAATAAAATGCAAACAAATCGCAGAAATACCAGGAAAATTATGGCATGGCCTTTTGATGATAGTAAACTTGTAGATGTAACTAGACAATGTTGTAAGCCATTGTAAAGTCCTTACACATCCACACTAGATGGCATATTTGAATATTGTAAGGCCATACAAACCAATACTAGAGGGTGTAATAGAATTCAAGAAATGGTATAATGAGGCATTAAAGCAGGCTTCCTAAACACTACTAGACATACTAGGAGTCAATACAACACTTTGTAGGCTATTGTAAGCATCTTACAAAGTGACACTAGATGACATATCTCACTATTGTAGGGTCACATGTTCACTAGGACACTTACAAGAAATTACTAGAGACTATTGAAGGTTACTGAAGATTCTTACAAAGTGATGCCAGGTAACACTTCCGACTATTGTAAGCTCATTACAAACTCATACTACAAAATATATTAGGAGTCAGTATCATTGGATGTTGTTGACTTGCTGAACATTGCTAGGCAATATACTAAGAGTTAGTAGGCAACTTTGTAGACTATTTAATAATGCGGCCCTTATCAACCCACACAACTTATCAATGTATAGTGGGATGTTGTAGGACACTTACTACACATTATTAAATGGCACACCAGGAGTTGGTAGAGGAGTTAGTAGGCGACTTTGTGGACTGTTATCAATGTCTAGTGGAACATTGTAGGACACCTACTACACATTATTAGATGATACTAGGATTTAGTAGATAATATAATAACAATTTATTGTATACATTTTGATGTGTTGCTATAGACACATGGGTTATAGTTTCTAGTGTTATTTTTTGTAGTGGTTCTTATATGCACATTGGTAACATTTTTTGTAGTGATTCATATAGGCACATTAGTAACAGTTTTTAGCGTCATTTTTTGTAGTGATTCTTATAGCCACATAACAGCTTCTGGTGTTATTTTTTGTAGTGGTTCTTATAGGCATGTTGATGACATTTTTTGTAATGATTCTTTTAGGCACATTAGTAACAGTTTCTACAGTTGTTATTTGTAGTGGTTCTTATAGGCACATGTGTAACAGTTTCTGCTGTTATTTTTTGTAGTGGTTCTTATAGACACATTGGTAAGATTTTTTATAGTGAGTCTTGTAGGCACATTAGTAACAGTTTCCCCTGTGATTTTCTGTAGTGGTTCTTATAGGCACATTAGTAACATTTTTTGTACTGATTCTTGTATACACATTAGTAACAGTTTCTAGTGTCATTTTTTAGACTGATTCTTATAGGCACATGTGTAACAGTTTCTGCTGTTATTTTTTGTAGTGATTCTTGTAGGCATATTAGTAACAGTTTCTAGCATAATCTTTTGTAGTGATTCTTTTAGACACATATTTGTAACAGTTTCTGGTGTCATTTTTTGTAGTGATTCTTATAGGCTTGTTGGTAACATTTTTGTAGTGATTCTTATAGGCACACTTGCTAGTGTCATTTCTTGTAGAGATTCTTATATATTAAGAGTCTGTAGATAAATTTGTATACCAATGTAAGGCTCTTATAAACTCATACTACTTAGTGGAGTAGAATATTGTAGAATGCTTACCAGACATTATTATATGACATACTAGGAGTCAGTAAAGTATATAATAGACTATTCATGGTTTGTAGGTGGTATATTAGAATTTTGTAGATGACATTGTAAATTGTTGTAAGACACCTACAAACTGATAGTAGGTGGCCTTTCAGACTATTATAAGGCCTTACAAATAAATACCAGGTGCCATACCAGGCTATTATAAGGTCATTAGAGTACTGAGCAACTTGCTAAAAGTTAGTAAACTATGTAGTAAGATATTGTAGGAGCTTACTAAACATTATCAGATCACATTATGGGGCATTGTAAGGTCTCCATTAAAAATGATAGGCAGTATGTCAGACTACTGTAAGGCACTTACAAACTAATATTAGATGTCATACGAAAAATCTGATGACATAGAAAAAAATCCGAAAAAATTATAGAAATATTAGAAGAATTGTGGCATAACTATAGAATCAAAGATTCTAAGAAAGTTCTATCAGATAGTTACCTTAGAGTAAGTACATGACATTGTAGGCTATTAAGGTGATTCTTGTAAGCTGAATATTAATGAATGCCTTTTTAGTCATATTTTTATATACATTTTATACGTTGATAATATCATTTTGAAGCTACTTTTTAGCTGAGTCTTTCAGAATGCACACTAGTCACTTTTTAGTAATGTTTTTATATACTTTTTGCAGAACAACATAGTAGTATCATTTTGAAGCCATTTTTCAGCTCAGTCTTTTAGTATTCATTAGTATGCATTCTTCCAGACTCAGCCAAAAAATGGCTTTAAAACGACAATATATGTCATTTCACAAGAAGTGAATAAGCAATTACTAAAAAGTAACTAGCATGTATTCTAAAAGACTGAGCTGAAAAATGGCTTCAAAATGATATTACTATGTCATTTTATAAAATCTATATAAAACTATAACTAAAAAGTGATTGGTATGCATTCTAAAAGACTCGGCTGAAAAATGGCTTTAAAATAATATTACTATGAGATTTTGTAAAAAGTATATAAAAACATTACCAAAAAGTGACTAGTATGCATTTCAAAAAAATGGGCTTCAAAATGGCTTCAAAATGATACTACTATGTTGTTCTGCAAAAAGTATATAAAAACATTACTAAAAAGTGACTAGTGTGCATTCTGAAAGACTCAGCTAAAAAGTAGCTTCAAAATGATATTATCAACGTATAAAATGTATATAAAAATATGACTAAAAAGGCATTCATTAATATTCAGCTTACAAGAATCACCTTAATAGCCTACAATGTCATGTACTTACTCTAAGGTAACTATCTGATAGAACTTTCTTAGAATCTTTGATTCTATAGTTATGCCACAATTCTTCTAATATTTCTATAATTTTTTCGGATTTTTTTCTATGTCATCAGATTTTTCGTATGACATCTAATATTAGTTTGTAAGTGCCTTACAGTAGTCTGACATACTGCCTATCATTTTTAATGGAGACCTTACAATGCCCCATAATGTGATCTGATAATGTTTAGTAAGCTCCTACAATATCTTACTACATAGTTTACTAACTTTTAGCAAGTTGCTCAGTACTCTAATGACCTTATAATAGCCTGGTATGGCACCTGGTATTTATTTGTAAGGCCTTATAATAGTCTGAAAGGCCACCTACTATCAGTTTGTAGGTGTCTTACAACAATTTACAATGTCATCTACAAAATTCTAATATACCACCTACAAACCATGAATAGTCTATTATATACTTTACTGACTCCTAGTATGTCATATAATAATGTCTGGTAAGCATTCTACAATATTCTACTCCACTAAGTAGTATGAGTTTATAAGAGCCTTACATTGGTATACAAATTTATCTACAGACTCTTAATATATAAGAATCTCTACAAGAAATGACACTAGCAAGTGTGCCTATAAGAATCACTACAAAAATGTTACCAACAAGCCTATAAGAATCACTACAAAAAATGACACCAGAAACTGTTACAAATATGTGTCTAAAAGAATCACTACAAAAGATTATGCTAGAAACTGTTACTAATATGCCTACAAGAATCACTACAAAAAATAACAGCAGAAACTGTTACACATGTGCCTATAAGAATCAGTCTAAAAAATGACACTAGAAACTGTTACTAATGTGTATACAAGAATCAGTACAAAAAATGTTACTAATGTGCCTATAAGAACCACTACAGAAAATCACAGGGGAAACTGTTACTAATGTGCCTACAAGACTCACTATAAAAAATCTTACCAATGTGTCTATAAGAACCACTACAAAAAATAACAGCAGAAACTGTTACACATGTGCCTATAAGAACCACTACAAATAACAACTGTAGAAACTGTTACTAATGTGCCTAAAAGAATCATTACAAAAAATGTCATCAACATGCCTATAAGAACCACTACAAAAAATAACACCAGAAGCTGTTATGTGGCTATAAGAATCACTACAAAAAATGACGCTAAAAACTGTTACTAATGTGCCTATATGAATCACTACAAAAAATGTTACCAATGTGCATATAAGAACCACTACAAAAAATAACACTAGAAACTATAACCCATGTGTCTATAGCAACACATCAAAATGTATACAATAAATTGTTATTATATTATCTACTAAATCCTAGTATCATCTAATAATGTGTAGTAGGTGTCCTACAATGTTCCACTAGACATTGATAACAGTCCACAAAGTCGCCTACTAACTCCTCTACCAACTCCTGGTGTGCCATTTAATAATGTGTAGTAAGTGTCCTACAACATCCCACTATACATTGATAAGTTGTGTGGGTTGATAAGGGCCGCATTATTAAATAGTCTACAAAGTTGCCTACTAACTCTTAGTATATTGCCTAGCAATGTTCAGCAAGTCAACAACATCCAATGATACTGACTCCTAATATATTTTGTAGTATGAGTTTGTAATGAGCTTACAATAGTCGGAAGTGTTACCTGGCATCACTTTGTAAGAATCTTCAGTAACCTTCAATAGTCTCTAGTAATTTCTTGTAAGTGTCCTAGTGAACATGTGACCCTACAATAGTGAGATATGTCATCTAGTGTCACTTTGTAAGATGCTTACAATAGCCTACAAAGTGTTGTATTGACTCCTAGTATGTCTAGTAGTGTTTAGGAAGCCTGCTTTAATGCCTCATTATACCATTTCTTGAATTCTATTACACCCTCTAGTATTGGTTTGTATGGCCTTACAATATTCAAATATGCCATCTAGTGTGGATGTGTAAGGACTTTACAATGGCTTACAACATTGTCTAGTTACATCTACAAGTTTACTATCATCAAAAGGCCATGCCATAATTTTCCTGGTATTTCTGCGATTTGTTTGCATTTTATTCTGCATGTTTTATCTTCAGCCACACATCACATGGCCTGCAGGTCACGTGACACTACCGGCTTCAAGCACTTGTTACCACACTTGTAGCCAAACTTGCCAGGCTTGTAGCTCACTCAATTCTGCTCGGATTTGGATAAACCAAGTGGCCATTCTGACCGCAGTTTCAAGCTGAATCTGACGTGTTACTTTTAGAACATCAAAATCACTTGCTGGAGTGCTACAATTTATTTTCTTAGTTTTCTCTCCATTCTGCTTGCTTCTTCAATATGCACTGCATGTTAAAAATAAGGCACCCTATCTAACATGTTTATGTGCATTTTAGAGTCATTCTCAAATTTTTCTGGCATTTATCCAATTTTTCTGCACTTCACACTGAGCATTCTAATCCAAAACTGAGATATCTCTGCCAGTTTTACTCAGATTTACTTGGTTTAAGAGAGCATTATGCTCCATTTCCTTCACAAATTTTAATGGTACTGCTTTTTATGTGTTGGAATTAGCATGTGCTTCTATAATTTCACTGACTATGATGCATTGGTCCTCTGTGGCTGCTGTGGCACTTCTATTGATTACTATTTGTGCAAGTTGCGTTGGTTTTCACTACAATCAGTTTGAAAGAACAACTGTACTCAAGTTGTAGGATGGCAACAACAGGCACTACAAAGTTTGTAGTTAAATCCTAGATCTAACCCAGGACTAGGTGCAGCTCTCACATACAAAATTATATTGAAAAGTCGTTCCCACACCTTGGGGAAAAAGTGCATGTCCTCCCAAAAGTTGGCGGAAGCCCTATCCCATAAAGAATGATTCCTTCGTACCTCAGGAATTGTAATCAGGGATAACATGGCAACTACGGAGAACATCTCTCAGGTTGATGAAACCAAATGTATCATCACTAGCCATGGGAGGAAAACATACAAGGTCGAGGTCGTTTGTGCGACCAACCTTTCAAAACCATCGGACCCATAGGAAGTCAAGTCACCTAGGTCAGTAATCAAACCTATCCGGTCCAGTGTATATGATGTTCACGTGGAACATTCCAAGGACATGAGCATAAAGAAAAGGATGACTTCCAGCATTGCTCGAATCGTCTGTGTCAGCGAGTAACATAATGTCGCAGTGGGTCATGCGGGGATTGACCATGTCCTGGGAACATCGGACATTGTACGTTGTGTAGTTGAATCGAATGAGACAATGACAGTACATGCGATCGTTCTTAAAAAGAACTGCATCCCGCTCTGGCCAGTTCGAGTCATCAGTCTCTCTCCTTGCGGACAAACCATGTTGCACCGAGGTGGAAGAAGGGTCATGAACTTCATATGACTCGGATGGATTGTTCACCTCAAGTCGAATTATTTCTCACAGTCGTGAAAGGAGATGATCTTTGAGCTTTGGTACAAAGTTCTGGACTTATATATCAGAGTGTTGTGCACCGTGAAGTTGGCCAAAAAATACCTTTATGGCGAGATCGCCTATGTGCTGCTGGAGGAAAAGTCCGATATGCTCCAGATCGTTTTGTGATTTGCCAAGAACGTGATGTATCTCCGGTGTCGGAGCTGTCATCTCATGTTTGCTCTCCCTTGATCTATGCAACTGCTGTTGGATGTCACGGATACGAGCCTGACGTCGCTCAATCTGTGCAATTTGTTTCACATAGTTTTTCCGGCTGATACGACTGTATCTTGCTTTGGACAACCGATGTTCTAGTTCCCCCTTGAAATGACAAGCATGATATCAGCGTTCATTTCTAAGCAAACCTAAAACAATGCATCACTTCAGTCATATATGAGTCAGTTGTTCCACATCTCCTGATTATGCTGGGATAATCCCCTAAGGCATGGTTCTTATAGGTGTTCAAGTTCAGCTTCTTTTTGCGGCGACCCAAAATACTGCAGCGGTTCTGCATGCTGGAGCCAGCAGTACCTGAAGCCCTACTGTTTCGACAAAGATGTGCTTGATATTCTCGTTGCAATTTGAGGGTTGTGAAAGCGGAGCAAGTTTTCTCGTTAAATTGTCGCAACTTCGAGCTGAGGGACACCGTCACCCTATCCAATATGTCCAAAGTGGGGTCAGTGTGCATCTGCAACTTTGCCAACTCGTGCCATTGCGCTAAAGTGAAGAGCAGGTCCAAGAGCCTTCCATTATGAGGCTCATCAAGCAACCCACCGAAAACAGGTACAGCACACTAAAAGTATTCGAATTGAAGTATCACTACCTAGAGGAGGCTCACCACAACTCACCTGTAATAAATTCTCATAATTATGTGCTGCCATGTTTCTGAGTTCAGAAGAATTGGTTGGAAACCGGCAGATTGTGTCCTTGCCAAAGGATGGCACTAGCCTGTAACTACCACTCTCCCTGTAAATCCACGATCTTTGGGACACAAAAATAACTTACTGCCGATCCAGCTCCGCTAGGAGAGCTCTGCCGCCGTGTGACTCGAGTAATCTTAGCAAATGCAGGAACAGCGTCTGCCAAACACCTAACTCGAATTCGTGCATTAGATCGACTACCAGCATCAAAAACAGCACAAAGCCAAGTGCCGATAGCCGATCAGAAAAGGCATTCTATTATAGAATTATTGATGGTCTCCACATATGAATGAAAGACACAAATTTGTACCGAATTTGGAACCAATGACGTCTTCTTGAGTAGGTTCTCCACAGCTGCAGAGTTCACAGCACGATTCCTGTAGTATATAGCCCGCCTTGCTTGGTTAACTAGATATTGCCGATGGCCATCGTCAATCCAAGCTGAAGTAGTGCGACCTTTCATGTCTCGAGATATGCCAAGGTTGTGGACAAGATTGAGCGGTACTAGACAGCGAGAACAAGGGCATTGTCCAAGATTGCGAATGCTAGAAGCAGTATCCTGAGGTCATATTAGTAAATGATTCTGACAACGGTCAGGTTTGTGTACTTCTCAGGATAAGCGGCTGAGTACGTGAAGATGCGAGGGTAAAACCGCCGCTTCACTCCGTCACAGCACATTAAAACGATACTGTGCTTCCAAGTTTCCAAGAACTCATCATCAAGCAGAGCTTTCCATTGAGCATGCAGTAGTTCGCACGCACAAAATGTCATGAATGTGTCACTAGGAGCTTGATTGCCCGCCGTCTGGCCAGCTGCAAAGTCTTTGAACGTACCTGGAAGCTATGCTCCGAGAGAAGTCAGGTATGGGTTTTCATTGAAGGAAACTGTGGGTTAACCTTCTGAAAATAGGCAACATGTTGAGATAGGTGGCAAGAGGGTTTGGAACAATGATATTTGGATTCATTCCCACAATACATATAGAGTGGCCAGAGCTTTGCGTCACCAAAAGTGGTAAGATGAGTGACATCTGACCAGAACATCAATGTGATGATGACCCAGGGAAGGTCACATCCAGGCTCAGGAAGTGAAGTTTGTAGCTCGCGATGAGCCTCAATGAAGGCAGGAGAAGTGTAAAGTTCTCCATGGACGTGAATGGGCTGAGTGGTCTCTTTCGGTTGCCAATATAACTCGTAAGGCTCATAGTGGAAACGTTCTGACACCGTCGGGTTCAACAACTTCTCGTGAATAGCGCTCACCAGATTGCGATGATAGAAACCTTGAATAGTGTAGTCTCGAGGGCTTGCATCAGAGTTGGATGGGACTCCACGGCGTGCCTGATACGGGACTGAAATGGTTACTGGTGTGTGAATCCAGCCAGCATCTTCATCCAACCACTCCTCTGAATCGCCACCGGCCAGTGTAGAATTTATCTCGTCCCACCGTGTGTCTCGTACATCAGAGGAGTTGAATTCCGGATTACCCACTATATCGAGAAGTTCTTTAAAACTAGATTGCGATTTCTGCACTCCGCTGTTCCAGTACCATGCACCCAAGCGGAAAGAGTTTATGTTTGGATATGGATGGAAGGCTGAAGGCAAAGTTAACGGAAGACACGGAACATCTGAAAGGTCGGCTACGTCGGTCAGCTCCTCTGGGTCATGCTCTGGAGGCCCGGCTCTATAATATCGACGGAATAGTCCGAAGACATTTTTCACTGTTGTGAACATCTCTCGCAGGGGAGATAAGATACGTGAAAGGCTAGAAGCACCCAAATCGACTAAATTGTTGCTGCCCGGCGGTTGTAGCACATCACTAACGACAGACGGCGCTGGTGGTTCTGGCAAAGGGTCCCTAAATCTCAAGGGAAGTTAACAGTTTAATCTCTGGGTCCACGGGCGGCACTCTATTAGAGTTAGATGTGAATTGTCAGTGGGAGCAGCATCCTCTAAATCTGCCGCTTGCACCTAAGTACAAACAAATTTAGTTGCACATCTCACATGTAGTAACAGGACCATATGCTGTGCCCCTCGTCCAATGCCAATGCTCATCCGGACATCGTGGTGAATTGATGCGTGTGGACGTCGTCAGCTTCACTAGACTGTACCTCCAATGTTGTTTCGCCTTTTCCAAGACTGCAATCACATTGTAGTGCTCCTGATCGTCACCTGTTGCAGCAGAAAAAGCCGCAGCATCTCAGAGTCTGCATAGAGGAGAGAATAAATCGTCCTGACTGGGTCACTCAGTGTGCCCCTGGTTGGTCGGAGATTATCGAGTCTCTTCAAGGGTTGAAGGATGCCGCCTCTGCACCGCTGTTGGTATCATTTGCCGCCCATTCATCTTTTTTTCAGTGACAAAACTGAGATCATTGGCCAGAAGATACATAACTGGCTTCGCATTTGCACGTGGTGTTTGCAACAGGTGATCAACCCCCCGGAACATTGTATGGTACTTATGACTGCAAGTCAGTGGTGGACTGCTCTGGAAGGCACCTATTACTATGTCAGCTACAAACACAGTAGCATCCAGCCGAAATCGTCTGCAGAAGATATTTCTCGCTTAGCCCCACCTCCTCAAAGTGCAAAGAATGCTTGTCGGGAATACATGCTCAAACAGGGAGAAGTCTCGAGATGTTGTGATAAAGCCGCAGATAAACATCTGACAGACAGGGTCAACATCAATGTGCGCTTTGGCGTGCATGCGACATTCTTGCCTTATGATCCAGATAATACGCTGGTACAACGGGGAAACACCTTCGTGAGCCGTGCCATCGCCGATCAGGACAAGCAACTTTGGGCAGAGGTCGTGTGGGAGTTATCTGTACTCAATTTCCATCTGGATCTTCTCGACCTGGACTGGACAATGGCGGAAGCACATTATACCCATGCTATTCGGAATCTCGCTGCCCAACGCAAAGCTAGCATATGCGACATTTGGAATGGCATCGGTGTACGGCCGATGTGGCAGGAGGACATTGACTACGATCCTCTTGGTTGCCTAAACTGAGAGCAGAGACGCATGGCTGTCAAGAAGATGGCTGCAGTGATGAGCATATGGCCGAATCTTAATGAGCTAGTGTGGTGACCGTGCTATGAGACTGCTCATGATGAGTTCCTGGACTTTGAGCAGGTAGTCTTTCTGTCTTTCATTATCATCTACCACAAGCATTGTGAAAGACTGCCCAGCATGCTGCTGCTGCAACCAGCATCTTTGGCGTGTCGCGCACTGAGCCAAACTCTCAAGTAGTGTGAATTGGTTGGCCTCATCCCACCTGTCTATTCCAGAGACAACTGTCTTCTACTCCAATACCTGTGGCAGTTTTGGCGATGGAGGACAATGAGGTCGAGGTCGAAGGAATGCTGATACTTACAAGGACTCTGGATGTATTACTCACAATGATGTCCTTACCTGGACTATTTTGGCGCAGGTCCCACTCGCGTTATTAATTCTTTGCTACGAATGTAACTCGGCATGCATGATTCTGAATAGTTAAGCAGTACTAGGGGCTCAGGAAATGTGATATAACATATGTTACGTATCATGATATATCTCAGGGTTTCAGCTGAGATAGCATGCCTGACTCGAACCTATGCAACATTGGCAGTGTACGTGACACTTTGGATGTGCCGGCCACAGTGACACTTCGCACTGGCCCGCGTACCCACCAGTCATCACCGACTTCGAACTATATACTATTGGCCCCAGTTTGAAGTTATTGGTAGGCCATCTGGTGGGTGTTTGTACTGGATCATTTATGTCTACAACGATATCATTATGCCATTTGATATTCGAGATACAGCGCAGCATTGAACAAGCCAAACAAGAACAATGAACCCTACTCCGAGTTCAACAACATTATCATGAACTAGAAGTCAGATAGGTACGTTGCGTCGATCACTGGAGGTGCCACCATTGAATGAAACACGACCTCGTTCAGGAGGAAGCTTCCTTCGGTCGATGTAGAGGACCAGACGTGCGGCTCCGTGTCTGTCAATTTCCACCACATCACTGCCTTTGGGCAATACTTCTTCAGTTCGGTCTTCAGCTCGTGGCGGAAATATTCGACCATGTCTTGCAAGATGTTAATGGGTAATATAGATGGTAAGCTGCATGGGGTGTAGTTGGAGTGAGAACCCATGATGCAGAAAAGCTCGCCCTCAGCTCCTCACAGGAGCTCCAACAGCTTTGTGCAGACTGGGCAGCACTGCTTTGAAACTCCCAGCCCATAGGTCGTATACTTCGCCTACAGATCAATGGCTCATTAACATAAGCATCCAAGTTACTAGATGGAATTACTGACCAGAGTCTTACTTGTGGGGAGTAGGCCATTGCTTTACATGGCAGGAACGATTCCTGAGGTTCTGTGTTCCTGCCTTCCTCTTATTATCTAATTATTTCTGCATGTTTTAATCATTCTATATTACTTTTTAGTAGTTAATTACTTGTGAAGAGTGATTCATTGTATTGCATTGCATAGCATCTTGTATTTCTATTTGATATCTATTTAAAGATTTCACTATTTGTATTCACTCAACACAGTCACTTTAAATAAAAATCTACTAAAATTTTATGTGATACTAATAAGTATAAAAAACTCAAGTATTTCTTGTCAGTGTATCATTCTTTGAAGCTCTGAAACTCTGTTTTTATTTCAACTAAATTTATGTATAAATTCATTTTATACAAATACTAAAAAGAAATAAAGTATTAGAATAACTTAAAATATTATTTGACTACTCTAGGTATCATCAACAACTGCATTACAATATTTTAGTATGCTATTCATTTAATATTTTACTTAAGAATATTTGGCAACAGTTCTGCGATAGTTCAGCATGTCATCTATATGTCTGTACAAAAAAGTTACAAGAAAATGCTAGTGCTTTTTAAATAAAAGCAGTATAATAGTCTACAGTGTTATTTAATAACTGGTATATTGCTTAGTCATATATGGTAAGCTTCTAACAATATCATAGCCATGACTTACTTAACATGTCACCTGATAGTTGTTTATAAAAGCCTTATAATAGTGTATTAGAGTATGCAAAGCCCTTTACAACACCAATATGTTATGTTATCACATAAGTCTTATATGTCTGCTATATCACCTATCAACCTTTTACATACCACTATCAGTTGATAATCTAGTATAGTGTAAACTTTGATTTATTTGTAGCTACCTGATAATAGTCTAACATATTGCTAAGTATCTCTGAGTAGAATTACGTAAAAGATGACCTTAAAATGATATTACTGTGTCTTTTTATCAAAACTGTATAAGAATGTTACTAAAAAGTACATAAAAACATAACTGAAAGGTGATTAGTATGCATTCTAAAAGACTTAGCTGAAAAATAGCTTCAAAATAATGCTGCTATGTCATTTTATAAAATTAATATAAAAACATTACTGAAAACTTACTAGTATACATTCTAAAAGACTTCACTGAAAACTGGCTTTAAAATGATATTACTATGTTGTTTTACAAGAAGTATTTAAAAACATTACTAAAAGGTGACTAACATGCATTCTCAAAGACTCGGCCAAAAAATGGCTTTAAAATGATGCTACTATGTCGATTTATAAAATTGATATAAAAACACGACTAAAAAGTTATTAATATTCATTCTGAAAGACTCAGCTTCAAAATAGCTTCAAAATGATATTACTATGTTGTTTTGCAAAAAGTATATAAAAACATTACTGAAAAGTGACTGGTATGTATTCTAAAAGACTCAGCCAAAAAATGGCTTCAAAATGATATTACTATGCCATTTTATAAAATCTATATAAAAACCTGACTAAAAAGTCGTTAATATTCATTCTATAAGGATCACCTTAATAGCCTACTATGTCATGTACCTACTCCAAGGTAACTATCTGATAAAAGTGTCTTAGAATTTTAGATTCTATAGTCATGCTACAATTTATCTGATATTTTTATGATTTTTGGGATTTAGTAATGTTTAGCAAGCTCCTACAATATCTTACTAAATAGTTTACTAACCTTTAGTAAGTTGCTTAGTATGGTAATAACCTCATAATAGCATGGTATGCCATCTACTGTTTATTTGTATGGCCTTATAATAGTCTGAAAGGCCACCTAGTATCAGTTTGTAGGGGTCTTACAACAATCTACCATATCATCTACTGAATCCATACCATCTAGAAACCATCAATAAGCCCCTTATAGTCTATTATATTCTCTACTGACACTGTATAAGAATGTCTAGTAAGCATCCTAGAACCACTACAAAAAAACACTCGAAACTGTTACAAATGTGGCTACAAGAATAACTACAACCAATGACCCTAGAAACTGTTACAAATGTTACCTATAAGAATCACTACAAAAAAATCTTACCAACTGCCTATAAGAACTACTACAAAAAAGGACACTAGAAACTGTTACAAATGTGCCTACAAGAATCACTATAAAAGTTGTGACCAACATGCCTATAAGAATCACTACAAAAAATAATATCAGAAAACTGTTACTAACATGCCCATACGAACCACTACAAAAAATGACACCAGAAACTGTTACAAATGTGTCTATAAGAACCACTACAAAAAATGACACTAGAAACTGTTACAAATATGCTTATAATCACTATAAAAAATAGCCTTAGAAACTGTTGCAAATGTGTCTACAAGAATGAATACAAAAAATGTTATCAGTGTGCCTATAAGAATCACTACAAAAAATAACGCTACAAACTGTTACAAATGTGCCTCTACAAATTACTAATAACACTAGAAACTGTTACAAATATGCCTATGAAAATCACTACAAAAAATGACACCAGAAACTGTTACAAATGTGACTACAAGAATTACTACAAAAATGTTACCAACATGCCTATAGGAATCACTACAAAAAATGACCCTGGAAACTGTTGCAAATGTGCCTACAAGAATCACTACAAAAAATGACACTAGAAACTGTTACAAATGTGCCTATATAAACCACTACAAAAAATGACACTGCCGTTTAATAATGTGTAGTAAGTATCCTACAATGTCCCACTATATATTGATAAGTTGTGTGGGTTGATAAGGGCTGTACCATTAAATAGTCTACAAAGTTGCCTACTGACTCTTAGTATATTGTCTAGTAATCTTCAGCAAGTCAACAACACCTTATGATACTGGCTCCTAATATATCCCATAGTATCAGTTTGTAATGAGCTTACAATAGTCGGAAATGTTACCTGGCATCACTTTGTAAGAATCTTCAGTAACCTTTATTAGTCTCTAGTAATCTCTCATAAGTGTCCTAGTAAACATGTTTATAATGACCCTACAATAGTTAGATATGTCATCCAGTATCACTTTGTAAGATACTTACAATAGTCTAGTAGACCACCTAGTACCAGTTAGTAAGGGCCCTACAGTAGCCTACAAAGTGATATATTGACTCCTAGCCTGTTGTCTAGTATAATGTTTAGACTGGCAAGTATAGGCACTGCACGGCAACAGTGAGGTCCATCGACAAAATATCTAAACTCAGCTGGGTGTTGAAAGTCAGCCTACCGCATTTGGACAAGATTTTCGGACTCAGCCCATGATGTTGAACTTGAATGGCTTGTAGCTCACTCAATTCTACTCGGATTTTGATGAACCAAGCATGCATTCTGACCGGTTTGTTGAGCTGAATCTGATGGTCTCACATTCAGAACACCAAAATGACTTCCTGCAGTGCTACAATCCATTTTGGCTCAAAGCACTTGTTTTCACACATCTAGCCAAACTTGCCAGGCTTGTAGTTCTCTCAATTCTGCTCGGATTTGGATAAACCAAGTGGCCATTCTGACCATATTTTCAAGCTGAATCTTACGGTATTACTCTCAGAATATCGAAATCACTTCCTGGAGTGTTACAGTCCATTTTCTCTGTTTTCTCTCACTTCTCCTTGTTTCTTTAAGAAAAAAACAATGTGCACTGCTTGTGAAAAATAACGCGCCCTATCTAGCATGTTCATGTGCATTTTAGAGTCATTCTCAAATTTTCTGATATTTATACAAATTTTCTGCACTTCACACTGAGCATTCTAATCCAAAACTCAGATATCTCAGCGAGTTTTACTCAGATTTACTTGGTTTAAGAGAGCATTATGCTCCATTTCCTTCACAGATTTCAATGGTACTGCTTTGTATGTGTTGGAATTAGTATGTGCTTCTATAATTTCACTGACTATGATGCATTGGTTTTCTATGGCTGCTGTGGCACTTCTGTTGATTACTATTTGTGCAAGTCGCGTTGGTTTCTACTACAATCACTTTGAAAGACCGCCTGTATGCAAGATGTAGTAGAGTAAGAACAGGCACTACAAAGTTTGTAGTTAAACCCTAGACCTAACCCAGGACTAGGTGCAGCCCATGCATACAAATTTGTATTGAAAAGTCGTTCCCACGCATAGGGGCCGTTTCATCTGTCCCTCAGGATTTTGGCGGAAGCCCTATCCCATAAAGAACGATTCCTTCGTACCTCAGGAATTGTAATCCTGAAAGTCAGACGGTGGAAACAGTAGACTTCCAAGAGCACCTTCGCAATGAACCCGTCCTTTGAATCTCATGTCGAACTCTGTGGAACCACGTAAGCCCTCGTCCTTGTTTGTCGACTGCAAGGGCAACTTCTTTCTGTTATTCATCCTGTCCGCTTGCATGGTTGTGAAGGCATCATTCACGAAAGTGACTAATTGGTCCATCGAGTAGAACTTCTTATCATCAGCCTGCAACCTTCCTTCGTTATCCAACAACTTCTCCAGCACATTCTTCAGGTTCATCATGGAGCTGTTGGGTTGTTTCCACGTGACGACATTGATGCTCATTAACGAAATTTTCGGATCTTTTACGGGTATTGATTTGCCTTGAAGTCTGATCAGAGATAGCTTGATCACAAGTATTGATTCCGTATATAGTGTCAATAGATGCAGCCACTTCTTGAATGCATCTTTGGTTGGCAGGTCTCGAGATAGGAGGACATTGGTGTCCAAATTGACGTCAGGAACCTCTTCTGCAGGCTCTGCCTGTGATGATGTCGCACTCCCTTCTGACCTCCTCTGCACTCTGCATTTGCTCAAATTGTCTTCCAGCGTCTCCCAAATGGCATCCAGATAGTCATCAATGAAGTCCGAGTAGGTGAAAGCGTGAATCGTATCGGAGGATTGTAACACAACGGTCACTGCACGATGCAGCTTTTCAACAGCATTGATGTGGTTGTCGATGTGGATTGGTTCTGAGGACGAGTTGAAGTTTGCCACAATGTCGTGCAAATTACATTCTGAAACTAGTGCAGCTCATTCGCGCGAGGGTTTAGACCCATTGCGGTGATATCAAAGGATTGCGCACCACACCTCTTCAAAGTAAAGGAGTGCATAAGTATGGTCGCAAAGGGCACAACGCAGTGCCATGTGCATGGTGATGCGCCTCTCCGCAGTACTAATCAGGTCATACAAATCATCTTCAGCAGGTTTCACGATGTTGCACAGCCCCTCAGCGACCGTCTCTGCCATAGGCTGCACCTGCGATCTCAGTGGCAGCTTCGCTATTTCAGCTTCTGCTTCCTCCAGAATGGACGAAGGTGGCACTGCGGGTGAAACCTTGCTCGCAATGCCAATTGAAGTCGGCATGGAGGACACGGCCTCGCTCGTGGCCTTGCTTGAAATCAAAGGAGTTCCAGAGGACGTGAAATGCTTCTGCCAGTATGCGACAAACTTCCCGGATCGCGACAGGGCACCTGCCTGCAGTGACTCCGCAACAGATTTGGCTGACTGTTCCACATCGGAGAGCTCCTTTAGCATCCCATCCAGTCTGATGAGAAGCTGTCGATCAGCTCGGGTCAGTTTGGTTGGACAGCTATCTGTGGGTTTGCTAAGCCCTTGGAGTATGTTTGGGTTGAAGAGAGAGTTGAAGAAGGCATCAGAAGGGAAGCTGAACATCCGGTGTTTCATCTTTATTCCCGACGAAGCATAAACGTATTTGCGGAACTTTGTACTAGTTATCCACTCGTCCTTGTTGAGCCCATCCATATCCTTATCTGCGAGGCTCCTACGATTCTGCATGGAATACTTGAAGAAGTCATTCAAGAAACTGACTATGACCCCGCAGTGGTCTTGAAATGTCTGATTATGGCTAACCGAAACAGTGAATAACCCACTTTTTCCAGTTGCCTGGAGGGACTCACCAGCAGTTGACAACATACAGTATTGGGTCCTTCCTGATGTCTTGAAAAGTGTCCGGAGATATCTCTGCTTTGAGGATTTCGCAGTCCTCGTTATCCTGGAACGGGTATGTCATGGCACATCTGGCTACATTGCCTCTTCTAACTCCCGATGGCTTCACACGTGTGTTTCTCGAATTTGGTGCGGCAAGGTACCGAGGGCCCACGTACGAAGGGTTCTCCCAAGGAGATACCGCATCCTTTGTCGTATTCGATGGAGTGTTAACAACATCGCAAATGTCAACAACTTCGGCATAATCCTCCCTAGAGATGAAGTTGATGTCATCGCCAGGGATAATGGGTCCAAGACCATCTGTCGCGACCTTGTATGAAGTAGGCATGACCGTATCTGCTGCTACGCTGTCGGGACTGGCATAGAACTTTGGGAGATGTTCACCAACTGCCATGCTCATTTCTGCGTCAACCACCATGCTGATGACTTCGTCACTGCGGACGAGAAGCATTGCCACTGCATTCAGCGATCGCAGAAATCACTGCTGCTTCAAAGACTTTCCAGCCAAGTCAGAGCTGGAGTTCGGTGCCTCGCCCGAGACGTGCGTTAGCACCTCTAGAGCACTCGTGATAGTCTTGAACTCCAGATTGAGTTCTCGTTTCCTCTCTAGTTCATCTTGCAGCCCGTTCATACTGATCAGTAAGCCTAGAGCTGCCAGTGAGTTAACTACTGCTATCCGATGGAGACCGTGACGCACTGGCAAGTCTTTATTCTCAGATCGCCGAGGGGATGAAAGTTGCAGATGAGAGTTCATCTAGTGTGAGCAGTCGCCGAGTACGTCGCCACTGCAAGGCTTCGGAAACCCCTTCTGGTGATAGGATACTATAGTGAAATGAACTTAGGTTCACGGCCTGTGACCTGTGACATGTTTTCTTCCTCAGTTCACAGTTCATACTTAGGGTAGGAGTGACCTATGACTCAAGTTCAGTTCAGAGGCGCCTGCCGACCGTCCGCCATGCCTTGCTATGAGCGCTGGTGACATCCTCTTTCGCTTCCAGTTCACAGACACCCATGACACGCTACAAACCCTTAAGCTAGTTCAGTTCACGAGCCCTGTGATGCGTGACTGAACGTGAGGTCATATAGACCCACTGGAATTTCCAGTTATGACTATGTCAGGTGACTTGGCTGGAACATATTCAAAACATGCCCGCCCAGTGGACCCCAGGCCCGCTTACTGCTCAGCTGGCACTGGTACTGCTCAGCTGGCACTGGGATTCATGTTTTTCTTTACCGTCACTCACAGACCTGCCTCTGCTCACTGGCCTTCTTCCTCCAGCCATGCTTGCTCACTGCAGGCATGTTCTGGTCCGACATACGCTGTGCTCGCTCACTGCAGGCATAGTTCAGTTTTCCGATGGACCCGCTGTGCTTGCTCACTGCAGGCATAGTATGGGTTTTCGCCCAAGTCGGCCGCGTGAACTCTGTCGAATGGTTCTCAGACTGGGAGTAGTTCAGTTTTTGTCGATGTGTTGTGGGAATTAGACACTTGCTCGCTGTGGTAGGCATGTCCTGTTCATAGACTGTCATATAATCTAACTGTATGAGACTCTTCTCGCAGACCACTGGCTCAGGGAGTCAGCGATGAGTTCCTCAATGCGATAAACTCATGTAGTGGACTTTGTATGAACTGGGCCGTCAGCTGCTTTTGGTTACAGCTACTTAAGTATTGTCGTTAGTGAGTCAATGATTCGCTTTTCATTGCTGGGACAAGCACTTTTTACCCTGATGTTACACCACATTCATTCATACTCGGAACTCTCACTCAAGTCTTAATTTTTTTAGTTGGATTGATCACATTTCCCCTTTAGATTCGCAACAGGCGGCATTCCATATGGCGATTGTGTTGATTGCCCTCAAACTGCCTTGGCCCGATATATTGCTTTATAGTATCACATTGTCTATGTGGATTCCGGGCTAGCCATCATCCATGGGGAGATCTATGATCTCTGTTGCTGAACCATCACCTTCGCTCTCCATGCTACCCGTGCTCCGACAGTAGTGCGTGTCAAATGTGCATTGCATGCTTATGAGCTTGCATGCAGCACACTGAAGGAACAAGTTGCAGAATTCGTTCTCCATCAGCCCAGGGCATATGGGCGCGTCAAGCCATGCGAGTTTGCTGCTAGGCGAGGTGCACAAAGGAATCGTGAGTTTGTTCAGATCTGTCAGTCGCAGTGAGTATGCTTATAGCATTGTACTGGAGAAAGGAACTGCACCTGCAAGAGCATATGACCTCTTCAGCGGCCTGCAGAGAGGGCATGCCCCTTCATAGGACAATCTTTGAGTCAAATCCCAGTATAAAGGTGCACACCTGTCCTGTCTATCTCGGAGATGTGAAGAACGTTCGGTGGAGCTGGTTCACCGGGTCCTGAGAATAACATCAGCGTCATCAGAAGTGATCAAAGGTCCGAGGGGTTACTGACCACGAGCTTGGTGTCACCTTATGTACAGCCCATTCTTATCATAGAAATGTTCCAGGCAGACTGAAGGCATTCCCATTGGCAGGTGAGCACAAATTCTTGCCAACATTCGAGTGATAACAGACTCACCTTGGTAGCCACATATGCCTCGCGAGCATTCCGCCACATACTGGCCGGCATAGCGATTCAATTGTGCGATGAAAATAGCAGCTTCGGTGAAAACAGGGGGACTGTCAGTCATCAGAGGGCAAAGGCAGCATGGCCCGAAGAAATGATGAGAGAGGCGGTGTAGACGCAGGTCAGATGGTGCCACGTGTTCACCGTCATCGTTCACAGGCCTTCAGAGGAACAGGGAGGTGGGTCAATGCATGAGCTCATGCAGTTTAAAGGGCTGACGATGATCTACGTACCATCTTCACACGTAGAGTCCACCATAATGGTATTCCAATTGCAGAATATTTTGGCCGGAGGAACGTATGTCTTGCAGATAGGACTGGTGATGCGTACGTACCCTTCGGACTTGACGAGGCATATTGTGATGACTTTGGCTCGAAGGTACTCTCTTTCGACTCAGGTGCGACAGGCAAGACTGAGGTTACAAGATGTCATGTTGAGTGATATTGGTGCGGGTTATATAGCCCCTCTGCCGTCAGTCAGCTTTCCGCTATTGAGTCATCTTCTCGTCAATGAGTCAGAGTCAAGCGATGCTGCGACTCACTCAGACTCAGTCCGACTCACTCAGACTCAGTCTGACTCGCTCAGACTCAGCTCGCTTCAACTTATATTGCCTGCCGACCGGTTCTGCTACTTGTAGTGCGCATTTTGGCTCGATTGTCGACATTTGTTCATTGTTGAATCATCCAGCAATTCCACGCCTTGTGCTTCAGGACGATGTGAAACACAAAGCGCTCAGGCAAGGGGGGGAGGAGGCTATTACCTGAGAAGAAGGCGTAGGTTGTTCGTTCGCATTTGAGATGGCTGTCTTGCTCACCATATACTTGTGGGGAGTGGGCCATTGCTTTGCATGGCAGGAACGATTCCTGAGGTTCTGTGTTCCTGCGTTGCTCTTATTATCTAATTGTTCTCACATGCATTAATCATTTTGTATTACTCCTTAATAGTTGATTACTTGTGAAGAGTGGTCCATTGCATTGCATTGCATGTTGCATTTTTATTCAGTATCTATTTAAAGGTTTCACCATTTGTATTCACTTAAAACAGTCACTTTGGGCAAAAATCTACTAACATTTGATGCTATACTAATAAGTGTAAAGAACTCAAGTCTTTCTTGTAGTGTATAATTTTTTGAAGCTCTGAAACTCTGTTTTTATTTCAACTACATTTATGTAAAAATTCATTTTATACAGATACTAAAAAGAAATAAAGTATTAGAATCACTTATAATATTATTTAGATACTCCAGGTATCATTAACAACTGCATTACAATGTTTTGGTATGCTATTTGTCTAATATTTCACTTATAAATATTTAGTAACAGTTCTGCAATAGGTTAGCATGTCATCTATATGTCTATATAAAAAAGTTACAAGAAAATGCTAGTGCTTTTTAAATGAGAGGATTTTAATGGTCTATAATGTTATTCAATAACTGGTATATTGCTTAGTAATATATAGTAAGCTTCTAACAATATTACACTCTTGACTTACTTATAAGATGTTATCTGATTGTAGTTTATAAAAATCTTATAATAGTATATTAGAGTATGAGACACACTTTATAAAAATAATATGTTATACTATCACATGATTTTATACATCTACTATGTCACCTACCAACTTTTTTTCATACAATTTAATATCAGTTGATAATTTAGTATAATGTAGATAATAATTTATTTGTCGCTGTCTAATTAGGCATCTCAGAGTAGAATTGTTTAAAACATGACTTTAAAATGATATCACTCTGCTCTTTTATCAAAACTATATAAGAATGTTACTAAAAATTGTTAGTACACCTCTCCTAAAAATGACTTTCAAAATTGCTTTAAAATGATCCTACTATGTTGTTTTGCAAAAAGTATACAAAAACCTTACTTAAAAGTGACTAGTATGCATTCAAAAAGACTCAGTTGAAAAATGGCTTCAAAATGCACTTCAGGGTACCCTTCCGACCTAGCTCTTAGCTTCAACATAATCTATATTGTGTAGTGGCTAAGAGCCTCTCAGGTGTCAGACTGACCATGGTACCAATACATGTCCCAGGGCATTATATGGGATTACCCAGGGCAAAGGCAGGGCAAAGGCAGGTCCAATGGCACAATTATCATATGGGATGTCCTATAGTACTAGGGCATTGATATTTATATCCCAGTATTACTGGTTGTCCCATGGTGCCAGGGGTACATAGGGATGTCCCACTATTAGTAAAACATGTATTTTCAGGCTATTGTATGGTAGTTTTTTTATACTTTGTTTTACAATCATATTGTATAAGCTCTAATTATAAAAACAGTGACTAGAATACTGTAAATAAGTGCCTTATTTGCACTTTATATATGGTGAAATATTTATAGAAAGCAGGATATCCCATATCAAGTATTGTGCACATATTTGTAATGTTATCAAGACTATATTACTATTGGTAGCATGTACAACAACTTCATTAGCTCATATAACAACTAATACAGGTCAAACAACAATGTTTATTCTTGTGTTTCAAAATTAATTTTACATTTTCTGACATAATGTTCAGACTAACATGATATAATCTTTGGCACATAGTATGTATCATAGCTATACTACAACTTTCACCAAGTGTCTCAAGAAATAAAACTACTCAGTCTACTAATATACTAGCAAAGGAGATATATTCTTGTCATGTCTCCTATCATATACTATATTTGAATGAAAAAAGAAAGGCATTTGACCTAAGACTTCAGTCAAGTCACACTCAGAAATGCATTCACTGAATGACACCTTTGTATTATGGGATGTCCCTTTATGTGATGGGATATCCCTTGTAAGCACCTGTCACTCTTAAACCTTAGTAATTCAACTGTTAGTATAAATCTCTAGATAATTATAGTAGTTAAATAGAAACTTCAGGCTAAAGAAGAGACTAAATATCTGTGAATCTTAAAATAACATCTTAGGATGTCCTTAAAATGGGAGATCCCACCTTATATAATATGCAAATAAAGTGCTTGTTTATGTCACTATAGTCACTGTTTTCATAATTAAGGCTTAG